AAAAAAAAAAAAAAAAAAAAAAAGATAAGCCATGAAATATTGTTTCAGGGCATATTCATCCTCAGGGCTCCATAAGCAGCAGTTTTTATTCCTATTACATCTAAGTCCTTCCCTTCAGGGGCTCTTTGGCAACTCTGGGCCAGTTCTCCTAAGGACCAAGAAGGCAGCAGGACACAATATAGTTTTGTCCCCCATATTCCTGGGGGAAGGGGAACTCAGAGCAGGAACAAATATCCACATGAACAAAATAATTTCAAATCATGACATTCTGGAAAGAAGACGAACAAGGTGGTGGAGTAGCACATGGCTGGGGAGCAGTCTTGGGTATGGCCTCACAGAAGAGCACCAAGGAGGTGAGAACTCCCAGCTAAGTTCCAGCTGGAAGAAGAAAATCTTTTGAAGTTCTGAGAGTAAAAATCAAGGCAAAGGAGACATCCATAGGGAGGATTTGAGAGAGGAAGGAGCAGATTGAGGGGACCGGGACAGTAATAGCTTAAACCTGAAGGCAGATGAAAAACCAGAGGAAAATACAAGGAAAAATCTCAAGAATGTTCTGGAGGAATGTCCCTCCCTTGAACATTCACACCTGAGACATTTCCCAACTGTTCCCTGTGTACTTGGTGTTCCTTGGTTGACAGGCCAGTAGATGACTCACAAGCAGCCGGGCCCCTACAAAGTCCAAGTACCTCACGGAAAGAGGACAGAGAAATGGCAGAAATAACACCAGTGAAAGCCCGAGAGGATCCGTGTGGGCCTGGGGGGAGTGAGTCTGAGGACTCTTCACAAACATTTGTCCACCTTTTACACTATGCTGGGCGCTGTGGCTGGCTCCAGAGGCACAACGGCACATGACAGAGGGCAGCAGTTCATGGAAGAAAACAGCAAAGTACAAAGGAAGGAGCAGCAGCAGCTATTGCTATCTCAGCATACCCCAGTAACAGGGCCTGCCTGGGGATCAAACCCCTGGCTCCTGCACCTGCTTGCAGGTGCTTTAACTCGCTGAGCTATTTGGCTGGCCCAGAATTCACATACTGTCCATGCCCTGGTCTTGGACAGGATGAGGATGTTTACAAAGTAAGAACCCTAGCTCCCTGCTGAGTCACTTAATTAAACTTCTAAACTTCTCAAGTTGACACAGCGTATCAACCAGTATAATCCACCCTTTATCAATTTGACAACCAGACACATTTCTTTGAACCAGTTTCCATATACACAAAGATATACTTATTCTTAACATTTCACAACTTGGACTTCCTAACACAGTGTTAAAAATCCTTAAGAACCAGTAGTAAGTCTATCAACATTGTATTATATGAGAACCATAACATTTTGCCCCTGGGCTCACCATAGAGTTATACACATCCCTTTTTGCAAAAGGCATTTAGTCTATAGGCAAGAGTTGCCAAAGTCGTAACAGTTTCAACATTGCTGAAAAGTCCAAGTCTCAAGTTAAACACTTCCAACATTTAATGGTACAAGAAAAATATTACCATTCCAAAAGGTACACACAGCAGGATACAAAGCATTGGGACTGAAGCAAATCCTAAATCCCATAGGACTAACATTAAACCGGCAGTTCCACGTTCAACACCGAAGGCAATCTGTGGCAAATTGTGAGCTCTGTGTGGCTCCATGTCTGTGGCACTTCTGCTGGTTGTAGCTCCCATGGCTTTTCTCTGGGCTAGCTTTGCTCCCTCCTTGCAGCTTTCCTCAGACAATCCATGTTCTTGGCTTTCTTAAACTTCTGGGGTTTCCGCTAAATAGACTTTTCACTCACAGCTTCACACACTGCCCTCCCAAGGGTACATTGCTTGGCCTCCTAGGCCTTCTGAAATCTAGTTGGAAGCCTTCTTAACCTCAGAACTCCTGCATTCTGCACGTGCTTCAAACTAATGCCATGTGGATGATGCAAGATCTGTGTCCAGCTGCAGAAGTATCCAGATTTTCTTCTCTCTTGGTTGTAGGGGTCAAACACCTGTATTGCTGAGCACTCTGACCCTGATTCCGAGGAACAAATTCTCTATGTCACTGACATTCTTGAACCTGGTGTGGCCGCTGCCTCTATTCTGAAACATGGTACTCTGTGGCTTTTTCCTCAAAGTCCCTCATCGTTGCAGTTCTGAGGCTGCAAAGGACACAGCCCTGTCATCTCCTCTGATGCCCTCAGGACATCTATTCTCCTTTTCCTCCTGAGCAATGGAGATCTCAGCTCTATCTTTGCAGACCAGAGCCTTCCTGGTGCTTCCTTTCTGGCCAAACTCACATTTTAAATCATCGTGCTGGGGCCAGGGAGATGGCTCAGTAGAATAAGCGCTTCCCTGCCAAGCGCAAGGGTCTGAGTTCAATCCCTGGTTCTGCAAAAACAAAAACAAAACAAAAACAAAAACAAAAAAAAATCATGCTGGGATCTTTGCTCTTGATTCTCAACATAAATCAGACTAAAATCCCCCAACAGTATCCATGCCACTGCCTCAACACTCAATCAACTGCCTTGAAACTGCTTTTGCCAGATTAACCAGTCCGCTGCACTTAATCTCAGTCTCAGGCAAAGTCTCTGGACACAAGCAAAATGAAGACAAACTTTCTGTGAAGCCATAACACACATCATATGGAATCCAACAATCAATGCAATCCTTCATCCCAACAGAAACCTCCACAGCCTGGTCTTCATAGGCAGGATTTCTATCAGCATTCTGGTCTTCTGAGCTCTGACCAGAATCTCCCTTACACAATAGCCAGTGGCGTTCCAGTGCTTCTCTTCTGGGCAGCTTCTCCTGAACCCCTTCTATTTCTTCTCATAAGCCATTCCCAAAGACTTGTAATCCACATGGTCAGGTCTATAGTCACAGCAATGACCCCACTTTTCTGGTACCAAATTCTGCCTCAGTTATCTTTCTCTCATTGCTAGAACAAAATAGCTGACACCCAACATTAAGGAAGAAAGGTTTATTTAGCTCACAGTTTGTGGAGGTTTCAGTCTGTACTCTGGCTGGCTGTAAGGCAGCAGTTCATAGTTGCAGAAAACAGCAAAGAGCAAAGGGAAGAGCAGCAACAGCTGCCTCTCTCCTTTCCTTATATTATAAGCAGGCTACCCTGGTGGCATTGGGGACTCATGTAATGTCCATGCCCTCCTCTTGCACAGGATGAAGATGTTTACAAGGTAAGAATCCTGGCTCCCAGTTGAGTAACTTAAACTTCTAAACTTCTCAAGTTGGGGCTGGTGAGATGGCTCAGTGGTCTAAAGCACCTATTTAAAACAAGCTTAGCTAAAGCACAGGTGACCACGGTTCAATCCCCCAGCACCACATGCCAGCCAGCCCCCGCCCCCTGGTGGGCTGAGCTGAGCTGGCCACACACACACACACACACACACACGCATAAATAAAAAAAATAAAATAAACTTCTCAAGTTGACACAATGTATTAACCAGTACAAAAGGTTAAAAAAAGAATTAAAATATATAAGCACTTACTTTCTAGAAGTAGCATTGGAGGTTCTCTTTCCTGTCTGCAGTTGTGCTGCTGTTGTGGCCTTCATGTCCTGAATCAATTTAATTTGTACCTTTCCTTGTCATTCTGACTTTAAGGAAGAATGTGAAGTTGCACAGTGCCATATCTGATAAATAAGGTATATAAAGTGTACGCCATAGTTTTTATTCGACAAAAATTGCTGTAAGAGACAGGGATATAGCTCAGCAGCATAAGCGCCTGCCTGGCAAGGGTAAGGTCCTGAGTTCTATCTCTGGTACAAATTTTTTAAAAAATTGTTGTAAACATTCTAAATCTATTAGGACATTGAGGTAGGCATTAAAAAAAAAAAAACACAAAAGAGGGGCTGGGAGATAGCTCAGTAGAATAAAGTGTGTCTGCCTGGCAAGCACAGGGTCCTGAGTTCAATCCCCGGTACTGCAAAAAATAAAATAAAATAACACAAAAGAGAACTTCCAGAAATTAGCAAGGATGATGAGCAAATTGTGTGAGGGGTTAATCTTCAGGGGGATTAGTAAGGTGTCTCTTAGTATAATAAATGTTTCTTTTTCTTTTCTTTCTTTTTTTTTTCTTTTTCGATTCCAGGGATTGAACTCAAGATCTTCTACTTTGCCAGGCAGGCATTTATACCCCTAAGCTATCTCCCTGACTTGGTGTAATAATTTTTTTTCCCGGAACCGGGATTTGAACTCAGACCCTTGTGCTTGCCAAGGATGCATATATTCTACTGAGCCATCTCCCCAGCCTCTGGTATAATAAATTTTCATTTAAACATTCACTGTATTTGTTAGTCCCACTTTATACCAGAACATGTCACTGCACCTGGTTGTAGGCCTGTCTTTTAAAATTCCAGTTCCATCCATCCTCGGGCCTGCCTTGCAGGCCCTGCCCCCAGGGCATGCTGAGACGTTGACTGAGACTGTGTGGTGGCGCCTGTAATCCCAGCACTTGGAACAGGAGAATCACTACAAGTCTGTTCTAGTAGTGAGATCCTGAACACCCTGTAGACCCTTCCCTAAATACAGAAAATAAAAAAATAAAATTCCAAAGCTATGTCAGATTTTTGGGTCAACCCTTCCACAGTTCCCCAACACCCCTGGGATAGTCTTAACTTTTTACTGCAGCCATCAAATGGTCCAGCCACTGTGAAGGAATCCTTAATCCTTGTTGGTTTTGCTGTTACTGTTGTGCTATTTACTGCAGGTTGATCCAGGGCCTCCTGCATACTAGGCAAGCTATCTACTAGTCTCAGACCTAGTCCCTGTGTTCTTGATGAAAAAACTCAGTTGAGACAGAAATGTGTGTTGGACCAGGGGTATGGCTCAGTGGCATGGTTCCTGCTTGGCAAGTGTGAGGTCCTGAGTTTGATTCCCAGAAGAATTAAAAGGAAAAAAAAAAAGTTATGAAAGCAAAAGCAGGGTTTATTGCAAAATGAAATCGCACAAGGCAAAAGTATACCTATAAGGGAACAGGTGGCAGTTGTGACAGATACAAGTTTATGCTTTATGTAATTTTTGTTAGGATGGGTAAGAACTGACGTATTAAATCCATAGACATTGAGTGACTTCTTACTACGTACACATAAATTTTTGTTGTTATTAGGATGTTCTGCCTTTTTTGCAAAACATCAAGTCCTCCCCGCTTTCAAATGTCAATGAGATAAGGAAAAACCCCTGAGAGAAGTTATTTGTGTCAGGTGAGCCCTTCCCTGGTACATGTGGCCAGGGCAGCCAGGGGATACTGAGGAGCGTGTTGTCGCTGGGCATATTTCTGAGGTGAGGTCTGTCTCCTGTACCTCCACCCTGCATCACAAATCTCCCTGGTTGGTTTTTGGGGTTTTTTTGTTTTGTTTTTTGTGCTACCAGGGATTTAACTCAGGACATTGAGCTTGCCAGTGCTATTCCACTGAGCTATCTCCTCAACCCCCTCCCCCGTTGGTTTTTGATAGGTTCTGGCCCTAGTATGAATTGCTGAATCATTATTATGGTCATCTAATAGCTGAAGCCCTTAAAACAACAGCTCATCTTTCCCAAGACCACCTCCCCCTTCTTCTCCAGCACAGCCCAGGGTGCAATTCCTTTCACCCTTCCCGCCGCCTCAGGGAAGGCCCCCCACTCAGTTTCTCAGGTATATCTCAACATCCCCTTCAAACTCCACCCCCGGCAAAAGGTCATAAAAGCCTCAGCCTCCCTTTGTTGCATTCCAGAGATTTCCTTATCTTCCCCAGATTCTCTCCGTGTCCTCAAATATAATAAAGCCCCTTTTCCTTTTTCCTTCTGCCTGTTTCTACTCTGCCCTCGGAGCCTATCAGTCTTGTTAGTTTTTATCTAGGTTTCCTCCATGCCTCAAGGCCTGCTAGTGTTGGCAGCCACTGTGCTAAATTCTGTCTTTGCAGATAATGTAACATTTCACTTAATGTTTTACTTTTACGGCCTTGACATTCTTTAAAAGTGCAGAACAGTTATCTTTGTGTCCTTCCGTTTGGCTTTTCTCATGATTACGTTCATATTAAGTGTTTTCAGCAGGAGTATCCAGAAGCGAGGCACAGGGTGCCAGTGAGGCCCGCCACCTCTGAGACCACCTTTGGGGCTTGTAAGTTGGACACGGCCACCATGCTTCCTCACTGAGCCGTATGCAATGACCCCCTGGCAGAAATTAGTCGCAAATCGCTTACAAGCACGTTTCACCATCTGAGAATTGAGGAAGGCTGCGCTCTAAACCAATACTGGCGTTCAAGAAAGGAAGCGTATGTGCGTGAGGTCTTAGGAATTAATTTCCTCTCGCTTTCCGCACCCGCCTACCCGCGGAGGGGCGGAAGAGAGTCGGCGAGGGCGAGGACGCATGCGCAGGAAGTAACCACTGAGTGGTGCCGGCTCTCGCGGGATAGAGTGGCCGGAAGTGCTCTTCGAGAGCGGTACAGTTACGGAGCCGAGAGAGTTCGCGCAGTGACGGTTGGGAACCTGGCTGTGTCGTTGTGAGAGCCTGTCGGAGTCTAGACAGGCACGATGGCTTCTCGGGCAGGCCCGCGAGCGGCCGGCACCGATGGCAGCGACTTTCAGCACCGGGAACGCGTCGCCATGCATTATCAGATGAGGTATGCAGCTAGGCGAGGAGCACAGAGGCCTTTCTGGCGGGAGCCTCCAGGGCACGGGCGGCGATGCGGGCCCCCTCGCGGTCCTGGCTCCATCCCCGGGGATCCTGTCCCGACACCCCCTCCAACCCGCGACAGCTCGATCCCGCGTGGTCTCCGGAGTCACAGCCTTGCTACCCCTTGGAAACCTCATGTCTAGTCGAGCCTGCATCGTACCGGCAGGGGGAGAAACTGGTAAATAACTTAAGTAAAGGAGGTAGCATGGGGCTTAGGCCACAATAACACAGGTAGCTGTTAAATTTGGGCTGTTTAGAGGTATATAGGCGATAAAGTGCCCCGAGTAAAGAGAATTTTATAAACACTCCCCCAGGGGTATTTCTGCATTCGATAGATTGTTACTGAGCTCCCACCTCGTGTTAGGCACTGAGGATTTAAAACTGAGGAAAAGCAGCCTGGTCTTTATTTACACATTATGCCCTCAATAAAAAAGTGTATTAAAAAAAAAAAACCCAAAAACAACCAAAAGAGAAAACTGGTCCCTGGCTTCATGGAACGTAAACCGGGGGGCTGGGGGAGCGCTGATTTTTTTTTTTCTTTTCCCTTTTCTACATCTTTTATAATGAATAGTTTAAAATAAAAAAAATTAAAACAGTTTTTATTGTCTTTATTTTTTATTTTTTAGAATTCACTTTATTTTTGTATGTATTTTAGTACAGGGTCTACAGGATCTCACTACACAAATTGGACTGGTAGTAATTCTCCTGTTTTCAGCCTCCCAAAAGCTGGGATTACAGGCTTATGAAACCATACCTGCCCAGTCTCAATCCGTTTTAGCGCGCCCCAGGGCCGGCACTGCAAGCCAGGGATTGAACCCAGTCCCCGTGCCTGCCTAAGGAGGCATTTTAGTCCACTGAGCTATCTGGCCAGCCCTTTATTGTCTTTAAATACATTTGAATTCTCTGGGAATGTTTTCCATATCTTTCTCTCCATAGATTTGTACAATAGCAAGCTCTGTGGATCCTCACTTTATTCTCACCTGAAGTCCTTCCTAAGGAAGTCTCACAACCCAGACAAGTGCTTTAGTTCCTACCCATAGCAGAAATTTTGCCTTCAGGAGTCTGACAGGGACCTAAGGGTACATTTAGGACCCAAGAAAATCAGAAGAATTAAATATATCTATCTATATCTATCTATATCTCTATATATCTATATCTCTATATATCTATATATATAGAGATATATATAGATATATATGTATATATATCTCCTTTAGAGGAAAATCTACAACTAAAGTGTGGGTAGCCAGAGCATTTTCCTTGTTGCCAGTACCTTTTCGCCCTTGGGGGTGTATACCTGCAATGTAAAGTCATCTTGCTAAACACAGCTAAGAGATACTCTGCTGTTATGTCAGTTATTTCATAGTCTTTGTACCCACCACTGCCACATCCATGCCACATTCAGCCACTTAATTTCCTAGAACATATATTTGTGGTTCGTTCCTGCATGCTATTATTGCTGCACAGAATACCCACCTCCAGCAACCCCTCAGAAAGAACCTTGCTCACATAGCTCCTAGTTGATCTTCTCCGAACATTCCATCCATGCAGAATTTATTTCTCCCTTCTCTGATCCATTATATCTTGGAAGACTTTTTTCACTTAATTTTTGATTACTTTTATCTTCTCAGGCCCATCCTCTGTCAAACACTCTATCACTCGTTTGTATCCCTGTGTCAAGTACAGTTACATGGCATACAGTTGGTGGTCAGAAAAATTTCAATGAAAGGTGCTTCCTCTGCTCTGCCCCACAGTGTGACCCTCAAGTATGAAATCAAGAAGCTGATCTACGTGCATCTGGTCATATGGCTGCTGCTGGTCGCCAAGATGATCGTGGGACACCTGAGGCTCTTGTCGCATGATCAGGTGGCCATGCCTTATCAGTGGGAGTACCCATATCTGCTGAGCATTGTGCCATCTCTCTTGGGCCTTCTCTCCTTCCCCCGCAACAACATTAGCTACCTGGTGCTCTCCATGATCAGCATGGGGCTCTTTTCCATCGCTCCTCTCATTTATGGCAGCATGGAGATGTTCCCTGCTGCCCAGCAGCTCTACCGCCATGGCAAGGCCTACCGCTACCTCTTTGGTTTCCCTGCTGTCTTTGTCATGTACTTAGTGTTGATACTGGCAGTCCAAGTGCATGCCTGGCAGTTGTACTACAGCAAGAAACTCCTAGACTCTTGGTTCACCAGCACACAGGAGAAGAAACAGAAATGAAGCTTCCTCGATGAACTGCTCTGAGGGGTGAAGCCTGGGCCTCTGTTGAGCAGAGTGAGAAGGCTAGGGGAACTGTTTTATAATCTTCTGGTATTTAAGTAGCTGCCATGTTGGTACCTACTACAAACTAGGCCGAAGTTCTGGTCTAAAGTTGTGTTGTTATCTATTGAAGTAGCAAAATTAAATATATGGGCTAGATCTGATTGGCCAGCAGCTGTGAAACAGACTTCAGCTGGGTGACGTTGAAGCCCTTCTGAATTTTTCCCTGTATGATCCTTATCCTTGCCTCCTGTTGGTCCTTCTCCCCACTTCCATCATCACCCTAAGCCACCAAGACTAAAAATTTTACTTCCATTTGTAGGTTATGGGACAAGAAACATGGGAAGCTGTTCCCCTTGCAGGATGTGCTTTCTACTGCAAAAAATTTAAACAAATCTCAATAAAGATTGCCCTGTCCACTCTGTGCCTTGCATGTGGGATTAACGGAGCACTGAAAGGTGTTACTTTAGTGATGGGGTTTACTTCAGTGATTTTAGACTAGAGTTGAGTAGAAGCACCTTGAGAAACCTGGTAGTGGCTGTGAGAAGTGGGCTCGACCTAGGGATCCGAAGTCATTGCTACTCTAGCTGATTGTCAAGAACTACCACATGGTAGCATTTCATTTCTACTTTATTTTTTATTTATTTGGTACAGGGTCTTGCTACACAGCTTGGACTCAGTGATCATCCTGTTTCAGCTTCCCCAGCGCTGGGATTGTAGATGTGTGCCACCATGTCAAGTTTTGGTGGCTAGCATGATGCACCCAGGATTCTGGGGCCAGCCTGACATGTGGTACCAGGGACCGAACCCAGGTCCTTGCACTTGCCAGACAGGCAAACTTAGACCACCAAGCTATCTCACCAGCCCTTCATTTCTACTTTAAAATGGTCCATTCTCATTTATCTAGCTTGAGTTATGAAATGTTTTAGATACTAATGTTTATCATTATCTAAAACTGTAGTATACGAAAGGATTTTGTTATTTTTCTTTTTTAGACAGGATCTCACTTTGTAGTACAGGCTGGTCTTGAGCTCACTATGAAGCCCAAGTTGACCTTGAACTCAAGAGATCCTCCTACTTCAGCCTTCAGAGTTCTGGGATCACAGGTGTGCACCATTGACACTTCAAGATAGCTTTGTTTGTTTGTTTTGTAACTATGCAGTTCAGGTTGGCCTTGAGCTCACTATGTAGCTCAGGCTAGCCTCAAACTTGAGGTGATGTGATTCTCCTGCCTCAGTGTGCACTCTAATAGATTTACTGAATGCAGTAACTCACTCTACTGTAGACCAAAACCAAGATATTTCATGGAGGATAGAGAACTAAAATGGGTAGAGTTTGGAGAACGGGGAAGCAGGTGGAAATATGTGGGTAATAGAGTTACCATGTGTGGCAGTCACAGATTGCTAATTTTCAAAGAATTGGGATCCAAATATTTACTAGTTATAAAAATGCCTATAACTCCTGTGAGTTTGAGGCCAGTCTGGGTGGCAAAGAGAGTTCAAGGGTAGCCTAAACTTCGTAGTGTGACCTTGTCTCAAAAAGAAGTTCTAGGCACTGGTGCACATCTGTAATCCCGATTATTCAGGCAGGCAGGAGGAACAGAAGTTTAAGGCCAGATGGGACCATCTCCAAAAATAAAGGATCAGATATGGTGGCTCACCCCTGTAATCTGTACTCTTAACACCTTGAGACTGAGGCAGGAAGATCTCTGAATTTGAGGCCAACTTAACTACATAGCAGGATCCAGTCTCCAAAAGGGGGAGGAGAGTTATAGGTAAGGTACCTATGCATTATAGTATTGGGGGTATTCAAAATTCTTTTGTTAATTGTGGTTTATCATCTCTCTAAAAATAAAAATTGTTTTATCATTAAAATGGTATTTCCTTGTTTTTGGTTTTTTTTTTTTTTTTTTTTTGTTGTGGTTTTTTTTTTTTTTTTTTTTTTTTTTTTTTTTTTTTTTTTTTTTTTTTTTTTTTTTTTTGGCAGAACCGGGGATTGAACTCAGACACTTGCACTTGCCAGGGAAGTGCTTATTCTACTGAGCTATCTCCTCAGCCCTGGAAATGAGGATTGAACCCAGGGAAATCTGAGCTACATCTCCTATCAGGGCCCTGGCCTAGGACCACCTGCTCAAAGGTGTGACAACAGAATAAAACACAGATCAAACATATACTTCAGTTACAAGGGGCACCAGGACGGTCAAAGCCCAATGATAGGCTAGGACCATGAAGCACAGTGTCCTTGGCTTTTATTAGGTGCATAGCTTGGGAAGGGGTGCTGGTGGGCTGCAGGGAGCAGTTGGGGTCAACTGCTAATATAGTCAGTGTTCAAGGACTGAGCAACTGCATTTTTGGAACAACACACAGGAACAGATCATGGTTAACTAGTAACCTGATTGTCTCCAAACTAGACAGAATTTGTATGAGTAAGCAATCAGCTGCCAGGTTAACTTGCTTTGAGGCACCAGAATTTCACACTGAGTTGGTCTCAGCTCTGGCCATTAGCACGAAGATAAATCTGTCCTTAAACCAGCTGGGCATAGGCCTAGTATAATCTCTCTAATTTTTGTGCCAATTTATTAATACTGTTTTCTCTGTACCACATCAAGCTGGCCCTTAGTAATCCACAGCCCTATTTATTTATTTATTTAATTTATTTTTTTTGGTATCAGGCATCAAACTCCGGGACCTTGCACTTGCTAAGCAAGAACTTATTCCACTGAGCTATATCCCCAGCCCTGTTTTTTAAGTTGAGAAAGGGTCTTGCTAAGTTGCCTAGGGTAGCCATAAATATGGGATCCTCCTGCCTCAGCCTCCCAAATAGCTGGGCTTACAGGCATGTGACACCATTCCCATCTTGTATACAGTCTTGTAGTACTTTCAGGACCTATTATGAAAATTACTGTCAATGATGCCAAAAGAAATTGTCTTTGTTTTTCATTTGTTGAGTTGATGAGATTCTGATTTTCTAGTCTTTTTTTTTTTTTATAATTTTTCCTGCCTCCTAGCTATGTTCCCAGAACCAAACAAGGTCTCCCCTTTTGAGTCTTGTTTTAGTGGAAAGAAAACTATTTGGATTAGAAATTGGGAATGTTAGATTTTCCAGAAAAAAAAAAAAATGGGTTAATGCCAAGATACTTGACAACCACAGCCTGAGACCAAGCTTACTGCGTGGATTGTTGTGAAGTTGTAATAACTTGAAGGATTGTGAGAGTGCTGTGTGGACTAGGCTACACTGTAGCAATACGAGAGTGGAGGTTCTTCCCTGGGTTTGCAAGATACATCCATGGGAAAGCAGTGTGCTGAAGTGGGCTGACTGCATTTTCTGATGTGAGTCTGATGTGCTTGGCATTCTGGCCAGGCATTTTATTACATTTTACCTTGAGCAAGATACTAGAACTACTGTTCTTGATCCAACACATAACTACCTCTCAGGGTTGTTGA